GGACATGTTATCAGGAGAGATCAGTCCCTGGAGAAGGACATCATGCTTGGTAAAGTAGAGGGCCAGAGAAAAAGAGGAAGACCCTCAACAAGATGGACTGATACAGTGGCTGCAACAATGGGCTCAAGCATAACAATGACTGTGAAAATGGTACAGGACCAGGCAGTGTTCCATTCTGTTGTACACAGGGTTGCTATGAGTCTAACCAACTCCACGGCACCTAACAACAACAACAAGAACAACATTCATGTGTACAAAGTACTCTTAGTTCAGGGCCTGTACAAAAAAGAGACAGTGGGCTGGATTTAGTCCAAGGCCAGTGGTGTCACTAGGGTTGGCGTCACCCCCCCATGCTAATTACCACAATACTGTAGCTAAACCACCAGAAAATTGGACAAAATCAGTGACCATAAAAACATCAGCATCAACAAAAACAACAGCATGTGCTTGTGGCCCGTGCAGATAAAACCACGTGATTCGAAACGTCCTTGTAACCAGGTAATAGTGACAGCTCCGACCGGAGTGCATCAGAAGATTTGAAAAATAAATCAGCACAGAGTTTTAGCTTTGTAGGTATACTGATACCTATAAGCTGGGCATATGAAATTTTTTTTGTTGTTATAACTAATTACAGGGATATTTTTATAAAAAATAATAAATTTCTGCTGAAACACTGCAGAAAATTTTACAGACATTTTGGTGTCACCCCCTCTAACAGTGTCACCTAATGCAGCCTGCACCCCCCACCCCTCCCTAGTGATGCCACTGCCACAGGCTGTACCTTTTCGGCTCCTGGTTTAGAGTCCTTTTAGAACCCTGGGAGCAAGTTATTCTCAGCATCGCTCAGGGATTGCATTAAGGGGAATGGACACGAATGACGGCGATAGCACTGAATGCTCTAAACAGAGTAGCCATAAAACAGGGTACGCAAGGGCTGTGGGGAAGGAAAAATGGGGTTTAACCAACATTTCTGATCTCTGAATTTAGATAAAAAAGAAATCACCTAAAACCCTATACACTCTATGCCGTATCCAGACAATGTTTATTTTCTCTAGGTGATAATTTTACAAATGTCAGTTTTTAGGTTTTATCCTTCATGATGTAGTTCTTAAACTCAGTTTTCTTTAATATACAAAACAAATTTTACCTGTAAATCAGATCTGGCCCTAAAAATACACAACTTATTATCAGTTAAGATCCTCTCATCGATTTCTATGAAGTAAATACTATAATAAGAGTTTCCAATAAAGCAATGCACTTACAAATATATTACCTGGATTTTTTTCCTTATCCCTTTTATTATAGAGTAAAGCTCCATTACAAGGTAGCATAATTTGTTGTGGGTTAGGTTTTATTGCAGACAAAAATTACCTTCCTCTAATACAGTGACGTGCATCCAATGTTGACTAATGTTACATCACAGAAACGCCACTGTTTCCGTTACCTTCCTAAAAGGAAGACTTCATCGTTCATTAAGATAAGCCAAACTCAGCTGTGTTAGTATTTCATGAATACCTCTAAATATCACAGCTGTTATATTTACCGTCAGCAAGGAGAGTGCAGGAAACACATACAGTACTTGCATTTAATGCTTCTGATCAAGGTAGAAAGAATTTAAAAAAGATTAATTTTAGCAGGGCGTTCAAAATATGCTTGTTATTCTTCTGTAAGCCTCAGTATTTGTTGTGCTTAGGGTATCTTTTCTCATCCTGAAATGCATGCAGTTTATTAGCTTATAAGACGTCTGCTTAACATCTACTAATTCTTTCTGACCCAGCCTAGATGTCTCCTCCTCCAGGAAACTTCACTCAGCAGTCCCCACCCCTCCAAGTCAGGGCACCGCCTTCCTTAGTGCTCCCATATCACCATAGACATATTCCTATCATTACACTCTATGCTATTTTATAAGTCTGTTTAAAAGTCCATCTATCCAATTCAAGTCTGAGCTGTAGGAAGGAAGAGATTGTGTCTTATTCACCATCATTCTATCCACGGTCTTTGCACAGTGCTGGGCAATAACAGTGTTGTTATTAGCTGCCGTTGAGTTGGCCAGCTCATGGAGATCCCATGAACAATGAAACAAAATGCAGTCCATCCCTGTGCTGTCCCCAGGATCAGTTGTGGATCAGACCATAGAGTTTTCATTGGCTGATTTTTGGGAAGTAGATCACCAGGCCTTTCTTCCTTGTCCATCTTACTCTGGAAGCTCTGCTGAAACCTGTTCAGCATCATAGCAACATGCAAGCCTCCAATGACAGATGCGTCGAGTCTGTACATGAGGTCCATTGTCCAGGAATCGAACCTAGGTCTCCCACATGGAAATTGAGAATTGTATCATGAACGTATAGATGTTATTGTTGCTGTTAGCTGCCTTTGAGTGGATTCTGACTCATGGTGACCCCATGTGTGCAGAGTAGAACTGCTCCATAGGGTTTTCAAGGCTGTGACCTTTTGGAAGCAGATCACCAGGCCTGTCTTCTGAGGCACCTCTGCGTGGGTTTGAACCACCAATCTTTTGGCTAGCAGTTGAGTGCTTAACCATTTGTACCACTCCGCTGCTCTGAACACAGAGTAGGAGCTCATTATATGGTTACTAAATAAAGAGGTAAATGAATGGATATACTGAGGGGCAACTGGATAGGTATGAAGGTTCTACTTATGAAGGATGAACTATCACCCTTACTTCTTCCTCACTGTTTTCTAAGAAGGTCAGTGTGACCTAGACACAATTCAGGATGTAGCCTAAGGGTAAAGACAAGAATAGAAAGGAAGAAGAAAAGGAGATGCCTAAGAATGAGAAAGGGCCATTATCAGAGAGCAGGAGGAAGAGGATATGGCCAGCATGTTGCTGGAGCACCCCAGCTAGGGCTAACGTAATGTGTGCACTTTGCACTGTTGGCTGCAGTACTTCCAAATCACTATGAGTTTTGCGTGGTTTTTTTGGCTTATGTTCTTTTGGCTTATACTTACCATTTTTAAAAGTCTTTTTGAAAATCCCCAGCCCTAGCGAAAGGAGCCTAGGAAAGGCTCTGCTTTGTAAAAGCTTTAAGGGGGATAGCACTACCACTCTACTTTCTCCCTCAACCCCGACCCTTCGGGGGCTATTCTAGTGGTAATAAGTGGTAAGAAAGTGTGAGAAACCCATCACTTTGCAGTACTGAACACATGGAGATTCTTCCTTTTGTTTCAGTATGAGGTGGTGGTAGTTGGTGGGGCAGGGACGGTAGATTTTCTTTTGTGGGTACATTCTCTTTGTCCCCTAACACTAGTACTGGAAAGGGTTTTTATTAATTAATCAATACCCAGGACTACAAATACAACCACAAATTCCTCCTAAAATCTGTAGTGCTTTTTCTCTCTCCTTTTTCTAAATTGGTTTAGCTTACGGCGAGGAATCAAGACACATCTTTGATATTCGACCAACCTATGTTATTCCTCCTACTTCAAACTTCAGCCCCATGGGGCTGGAGAAAAAGCTGCAGATAGACAACCTGAGAAATAGATGAACTGTCCTCATCGTCATAACAATCAGTTGTCAGCCTAAGAGGCCTAGGCTGGGGGTGGCTGCCCAGGGCCCTGGTTAAGCATCTGCTGAAGACTTTGGGTCAGTAGAGATGATGATGTGGCTGGTTTCGACATTCACCAAGAGTCAAATCCCCATGCCAGTTTTTCAAGACCTATGTGCATGTACTCAGGAGAACATTACGATTTACTTTTTTTTTTTTATCCAGTATTAATTAGAAAATGATTTTTGTCCTTTCTTCTTTTTTGATGTGCATGTTTATTGCTATAAATTGACTTCTGAGCACTGCTTTTGCTGTGTCCCAAAGGTTTTGGCATGTTGTGTTTTCGTTCTCATTCGATTCGAGGAATTTTTTAATTCCATCTTTGATTTCTCTATGACCTAGTAGTTTTAAGCAGGGTGTTATTTAGTTTCCACTTATTAGATTTTTTCCGCTTGCTCTTCCTGTTATTGATTTCTACTTTTATAGCGTTGTGATCAGAAAAGATGCTAATTAGAAAATGAGAAGAGTTATTAATTTTTTATAGAAGGCAGTTTTCAAAAAAGAACATAAGTTCATACACATTAACTATTAAGTAATATTTTTTTTCCAAGAGAAATTGGATGCGGTAATATGATGGAAGCACTGACCCAGCAGGAAATGTAAATCTGTCATTAATGATCTAGCTTACCGCTTAACATTTTAAAATTTGGGAAAAAGCTCACACAAGTGCCTTTGTTTCTTTAAATATTGTCGTCTCTTTTCTTGCTATTGTCTGATATAGGCAAAAGTAATTAACACCCTGATGTTGTTATTAACTGCCGTTGAGTCAATTACAATTCATGGCGCCTCTCTGTGTGTCAGAGTACAACTGTGCTCCATAGGTTTCAAGGCTATGACCTTTTGGAAGTAGACTGGCAGGCCCATTTTCCCAGGTGCCTCTGGGTGGGTTTGAACCATCAATCCTTTGGCTAGTAGTCAAGCACTTAACAATTTGCGTCACCCATGGACTTCTAACACTGTGATACAAGAGGCTAATTTTGTAGTTTCAGAAAGAAACTTAAATGATTTTAGGAGCTTGTAAACATTTTCCTATACTTGTAAAGGAAACACAAATTTAAGGAGAATTCAATGTTTGATATTTTATAAAGTTCTTGGAAACCAATTTGATGCCACTCCATTTACAATTACAAAGCTAGAAAAAAAGAAGAAAAATATCCATCCACAGTTAAACCATGCCAAGCATAGGATTACATACTCATCCAGAGGCTCATTCTTTTTAATATTTTAGTCATTAAGAGTAATTAAGGCTTCAGAATTACTTAAGTTTATTCTCTCTACCATTTGTGTACCATAATACAACTTTTTATTGCTGTATAAACATATTTTTAACAACACTTGTAAAAAAAAAAGCCCTAGTTTTAGTAAACATAGTAACAAGTGTAAACTATAGGATTCGTAGTGGGGTTAACTGGTTCAAACAACTGGCATACTTACAATTGCATTTCTTCTGAACAAACCTAAGCTTGCATGCTGTTCTGTAGGTGGAGAGTCGGATACGATCCAGATCTTGAGCCCCTAGTGGGGGAGAAAAAAAGTACACATATGGTATGCCATGTGTGTGGAAAGAAATTTATAATCTTTATAAATAAAACAAACTGCAGATACAATCCACACACTTGGTTTGATTTTTCTTTTTATTAGAATATAAATATAACATTAAGATCTGAAATGGACTGTCCTATATTCTCCAGGTTCTAGGGGAAGAAAGCACATGTATCCAACATTGGAATACAGTTGTCAATCCTGTTCATGAATCAGGGAACACGACCTCATCCCTGTCGTGTCTGCCACTTCTGAGAACAATCTGGTCAACCTGCGACTCAGAGTTAAACAGCTAGATGCTACCAGATACTCATATTATCAAATGACCATTTTTAATGCACTGGTATTGGTCACGAGAACATGGCTACAAGGTGAGCACACAATTGCATGTTGGGTATCTTCTCTGTGTGACCTCGGGCAAATTGTTTTTAGAAGCCTCGGTTTCCTTATCTGGAAGATGGGGACAATGATAATAACACTTCCTTCCTAAGAGTGTTATGAGGATAAATGAGGGAATATACCTATAGCACTTAGAAGAACATCGGGCACACGGTCAATGTTATGTAAGCATTCACTATGATCACCAGCATCTGTCCTACAATTCTCCCTGTCAAGCTCAGAGGAGGAGACTCCTTTCTAAAAACAACCTCTACCCGTCTTTATACTGTGGCTTCTAGTTCCTTACTAACACAGAGGGATCATGATCCCCTGCGTTCCTGAACTACTTTCTTTATGCCATATTTCCACTCAGGAATCCAGTAGGCCTCCTAAAGCCTACAGCACCAGGATGAGTATTCAGTACCTGAAAACTCAGCTCAGAATCCAAGCCCCTCTGTGGTCTATTTCCATCTTGCCCACACAACAATATTCCCCACTACTTTCTACCCCAGAATCTCCACTTGGCACAGGCTGGCCTCCTCATAATCCTATGCAGATAGGACACCTGAGTTCCTAGTGTTCCTCCCAAGATCCTTTCAATGAGTTAATGGGCTAATGTGTCCAGAACACAGTAGACTTTCAACATATGTCTGTTCTTCCCCACTGTAAATATCTGGCTTTCTTCAAGCCCCTCCTCAATTCTCAGCTATGACAGCCAAGCTCTAAACAACACTCATCTCTTTTGACTTCCAATCATGTTTATGGATCATAGATATAAAAGTCCATACTGTAATCTGACATGTACTGAAGTTTCTCCTTACTAGTGGTGCACCGACAACATGTGCTACATAAATGCTTTAGAATATAATAGTTAGGGTAGCAAATAAGTAAGCTGGCCTGGAAGCAGTTATATTAGGAGGCCAATTAACTGCTTTCCCAGTGAAACTCAGGATGAATTAGTACGTGATCTTCGCTAAGAGAATTTAGCATTCCCTCAACTCAAACTGATCTCTTTAGATTCATTTTAAAACACTGTCAATAGGCCTATTACTCTGTGGTTTTATGAGGCAGATTATTAAACATTGATACTTGTGAAAGTGTGTTACTTGACAAACAGGCTCATTAATACTGAGCCATTTGAAGGATCAAAGAAGTATCTCCCCCCAATTTTTAAGGAATTCCCTTAAAAATGCTCTCAAGAGATGGACAGTTAGCCAACAGCCATGTAGAATTTTTTCCAGTGTTAGAGAAGAATATAATTTAGTGAAAACAAATGAACTTTGGAGTCAGTAAACTTTAATTCTATCAATTCCTCATGTAAACTTAGACAGGTTATTAGTTGATGTCTCAATTTCCTTATGTATAAAATGAGAATATAGTATCTACTGTTTAGCTGGTAATACGTGTAAAGTCACGTATTCCAACTCATGGCAACCCCATGTGTGTCAGAGTAGAACTGTGCTCTATAAGGTTTTCAATGGCTGATTTTTTTGGAAGTACATTGCCAGGCCTTTCTTCTGAGGTGCCTTTGGGTAGACTCCAACTACCAGCCTTTGGGTTAGCAGCTCAGAGAGTTAGCATCGCGTCACTCAACTGCACATAGTGAGCATTTTTTCAACAGTAAATGGCCCTCCTTAAAATGCTTCCTGTACCATTTCTGAGCAACAATAAGTGATATAAATTTCTTTTTTATATTTCAGGTTTAATTTGCCTTCTTGTAACTTCAACTCATTTGACCTATTTTCCCCCTGGCACTACATCATCTTTTCTCCCTGCCACTTGATAATTCATTTCTCAAACATCTGAAAATGATGTCCGGTCATCATGAAGTTTAAAGTTTAGTTGAGGAGGTAGCTTCCCCTTGACTCTTTGAGGCAAAAGATGTTCAATTCTACATCCATTTTTTGCGTATAGTGTCTACCACAGAGCCTGACACACAGTAGGGTTTCAATCCATGGAAACTGCTATTATTATTCTCATTATCATCAGACATGAGTTTTGAGACTCCTTAAACATTCTAGTCACTCTGTTCCATGGTTGGTTAATATCTCTTTAAAATGAGATGTACAAAGCTTAACCCAAATGCCACAGCTATTGCCTCACCTGTATAGATACTATAGAAAGCAATTATTACTACCTTTGATAAGGACACTTATTAGTGTAATCTCATTTTTAATATCTAGCTCATTCTGCTGGCTCTTAGTAGGCTTATAGTTAATTAAAAAGCTAGCTATGTGTTTATATTAAGTCACATCTTTTTCGATTTTCTATTTGAGTGCTTATTTTTGGACTTAAGTGTAGAAGTTCACATTTATCTGGTCAACTTCTCTCCTTTTAAGTTGTAGGTCATTTTTCTAGCCTTTCTGATATCTTTTGAAATTTTGATGTTGTCATTGGCATTTCAAAGATCCTTCCTAGTTTTATGTCCTCCGTAAATCTGAGAGGTTCATGTGGGAAAATAAGTTTTTCAGGATGCTGAATAACCAGTGGCAGAGAAAACTATCAGCAATACCTGAAGGCTAAATTGGCTTTTTCCCCTTGGATGAGGATTTAGTTTTATTGATGCTAAGTTTGGCTCAACAACCAAGAGAATCTCAATATCTGAAATTAATCCCTTAAAAGAAAACATTAATGGCATAGATTATTCGTATAAATTCTTCAAGAATGATATAAACTGAAGGTATAAAAGGGCTGTGATGCAGCACGTAGCTAAGGTTCTCAGTTCCAGTAACTCAGTTAACTGTTTCTCAGTTAACAGTAACTCTGGCACCTCTGCACCCCAAAGGGATCCTGGGGGGAATTTAGCAAAGTTGCACTAAAACCCCTGCTCCTGCACCCTCTCTGGGATGCAGTGAACAAGGAGGTAGAGATGCTGCTTATGGACAGGGGTGCACTAACTGTTCTCCCCTGCCTGAGGTCTACGTGGACTTAACTAACCCCGTTCAAGAATCAGGAAGAGGTATGGACGTCTGCAAATGTTTCCTATTTGTGGAAGTTCCTCCTGGCTGATGATGTAAGACCCAGATATTAAAAGGGATGTGGTGAGTAATAAAATTTAGCTTTTCAGATACAGCAGCAGACTAACAATATCAGTGGCAACCGAAGCATGCACAATGGATTCTGGGACCAAAAGAAGCTGAGCTGAGCCACGCTACATAGTTCTTGCTCTGTTTATTCACCTTGTTTCAAATAAACTTCTTTATCTCTGCCCCAAGAAGCTACGAATTTTTGCACGTGCGGTCTCTTTTTAAAAATCCATAAATCCGTAGCCTACCTCTGGAGTAGTTGTGTGTCTTCTGTATCTTTATTCAAGTCATTGATTAAAAGCAAGGACCTGAACAGAACCAAGAATAGAGCCTTCCTGTATGCCACTAGAGACCTTCCTCCAAATTGATTGACACAATAATTATTCCTCTAGTCATGAATATGATGCTACCTATAAATCTACCTAACTCTATGCTGACCCACATTTCTTTAATGCAGGCACAACCCAAGAGCTTTTGTCAATATTTTGATGAAATTAAGGTTAATTTTTATCCTATGTTGTTTTCCTGATCTAGCAGTCTAGTAACTTTATTATAAAGGGAAATTACCATATTTTTATGCAAATAATGTGCACCTTCTATGTTTGTTTGCCAGCAGCACCCTTCCCCCATGAGGTACTTTTGTAAGCTCACTACACTAATTTTCTTACAGCAACATGTGAAAAAAATTGGCATAGTGACACTTATGAAAATACCTCGCAGGGGGAGGGCGCAGTTGGCAAACAAATGTAGAAGGCGTGCGTTATTTGTGTAAAAATGGGTAGTTCATCCATCCACCCATCCGTCTATCCATCCATACATACTTACATACCTATACACAGCCTTAACATAATTTTGGGTTTTACCTTCATAATACTCTTAACAGTCTTATACAATTCACTTATATTTTGCCTTGTATCTTTTGATAGCTTACTACACAGCCTTCCATATAGTCATTTAGGTCTTAAATATATCATGTATTTAAAAAATTCTTTCAACCAATGTTTATAGGATAAAGATAAAGCCTATAAACTTTGTCTTTGAATTCTGTCTCATGCTTGATGTTTAACTAGATATGTATGTGTGTGTGTGTGTGTGTGAGAGAGAGAGAGAGAGAGAGATTGGGAGGGAAGTAAAGAAGTTTGGGAGTCAAAGATGATGCTCAGATATATACCGTAGGCAACTGAATAGGATACGGTGTCCCTCAATGAGCTAAAGTGCCAAGAGGAAGGAATAGGTTTACAAGTGGGTAAAGACAAAGAGTTCAGTTTGGGACTTACAGAGTTTGAGTTGTATGTGGGACACCCAAGTAGAGATATTCAGTGGGCAGCTGTATATGTGCATATGGAGCCCATGACTAGAGTTATATTTCAGGAATTCTCAGCAAACATACAACGTGTAGCAGTGTGACTTGACTGGGCCAAGACTGGGATTATTTTTCTTAGAGGAGATGGTGAGCAGTTATTCCAGACTCTAGGTGGCAAAATGAGGACCAAAATTGGGAAGCAGAATACTCTTCCACTTCCAAGAAGTGCCCAGAACACACTTGGCAGTTGCTCAGAGACTTAGTAGCTTTAGAAGAAACACTGGGGGCAGCAGCCCTGGCATAGGCATTTGCTTTTTCATGGGCACCATTCGTGGAGGCAATGGTGAGTCCACTTCAAGTCACTTCATTAGTAGAAGTCTTGACAGGGAGGAGGCAAGGCTGGAAGGAAGGTCAAGTTTATATGGTGATTATTCCTGGTGCTGTTGTGGCTGCTAACCAAAAGGTCAGCAGTTCGAATCCACCAGGTATTCCTTGAAACCGTATGGGGCAGTTCTACTCTGTCCTATAGGGTTGCTATGAGTGAGAACCAACTCGACGGCAATGGATTTTTTTTTTTTTTAAATTCCTGATAGGAACCCTGGTGGCACAGTGGTTAAGAGCTTGGCTGCTAACCAAGAGGTCAGCAGTTCCAATCCAGCAGCCGCTCCTTGGAAACCCTATGGGGCAGTTATACTCTGTCCTACAGGGTTGCTACGAGCTGCAATTGACTTGATGGCAACAAGTTTGGGTTTTTTTGCTCCTGATAAGGAGTTGCTAGGTAGTGTAAACGGTTAACGTGCTCGGCTGCTAATTGGAAGTTTGGAGGCTTGAGACTACCCAGAGGTGCCTCAGAAGAAAGATCTAGTGATCTACTTCTGAAAAATTAGCCATTGAAAACCCTATGGAGCATAGTTCTACTCTGACACACTTGGGGTTACCATGAGTCAGAACTGACTGGAGGGCAACTGGTTATTCCTTATAAGCTGGTTCATGAGAATATGGGAGGTGTTTTAGGGAAACTCTTTGAACACCTGGGAGCCATAGCAAATAGCAGTAGAGGTAAATCCTTGGGAGAAAAATGAAATTATATGTGGAAAGAATGCGTGAAGAATAAAACTTTGGTAAAGTCTGATGGCAGGTCTGGATGGTACTGAGAGCCAGAAAAAGAGAATTAGAGTGCTCAGAAAAAGCAGAAGACCAAGTCAGGGTGGTGACAGAAGAGAAAGTAAGAGAGTTTCCAGGATGATGATCCTCAGTGTTAACATGTTAAAGAGGCTGAGGAACATGAGAAATGAAGAAAAAAGTGGAAATAGTCACTGATGGTCTCAGATCAATCATGGCCTATGGTAGCAGGATCATGTATATCATTCTTTCTGAATTTTTTTAAATCAGTTTTCCAAAAACTCACAGTGTACACTGCAAAATAATGCCCTAGGTTCTATTCCAACAGTACACATGCTGAGTGTAGCCAATATTCTGGAGTAGGACTGTCTGCCTTCAAACAATTGCACAGTATTTGCTGAGTACCTCCACGTGCTTCCCTTTCTGGTCCCTCCTCGTATGGGGCAGTGCTATCACTTTCCCCAGGACCTTCCTTATCTTGTTAGGAAGCCCTCCATGTTCTGAAGGAGTGTTTCCAGTTGCTTCCCTCCCATCAAAACCTACCCATCCTGTATCCCATAAGCATTTAAATAAGCACTGATTCAGCATGTAAGGTGAATGGTAAGATTCAAAGGTAAACGCCCAGGGTCTGTCCCGATACAGTTCACAATAGTGGGAGATCCAGACATGTCCACAAGTAACTATCACTCAAGGCAGAGTAAATGTGCCTTCAGAGCAGAAAAACAGAGGAGGAAGAGGAGAGTTGAGTTCTAAGAACAAACACTATTCTGCTAGTAGCCGGTCTGAGAAACTTATTTGAACTGATAAACTTATTTGATGACTGGAAAAGCCAAAGTGGGGATGACACTCACATTTAACTAGAGTCTTCTGTCTCAATCCAAGGTATTTAATAAATGGATAATTTGGGCAGTGTGGCAAAGAGAATATTTGGTTAAGAGCAGACTACTCAGAATTTCTCAAATCAAAGTAAATGGCCACCCACTTTTTAATATAAGGTTAGCCCTTCTTTGCTTACTTGTGAGTCACACACTGCTCTTTGTTTCTTTCCCTGCCTTTCCTTTATGCTTTTGCTCCTTGTGATAATGAGCTTAGAGTAGATATTTCATACATACTTACATGCTGCAATCAATTGAAGTTGCCAGACTTTCTTATCAATTGTTCTTCTCTGCTCTTTGTAATTTCCAAAGTAGAGAATCTCTCTCTTTTTTAAAAATTATTTCTAGATAATACTTAGTTGACCAAAATTACAAATTCTTCGTTCTTTTTTTAGCTCCCTGTGTAGCCATCAATGATTCCTAGAAGTTCTTTCCAATTCTTGATGCCAGTCTTCATAGGTAACCGTTTCCTTTTCTTTCTTTGGTGTCCTGATAGCACTGGGGTAACATATATTTTTCAACTATTTAACACAGTCTCAATGAGATTATCTTTCTCTCTTGTATGACTGTCTTATCAGTCAAAATCAATTCCTTCTTTTGAAACCAGCCCATTGTTTTATCCAGCAGAATCTCCACTTAATGCAGATGTGTTCTACTTAGTGCTGACCTAAGTATGGGGCTCAAAGTAACGGATTGTTAAGGTCAGATGTGTTCAGCAGTTTCGGCCAACATCTGAGTCTATTATTTTGCACACCCAAGGAAGAAAGATACACATTTCTGTGGCTTGCTTAACTATTCTGATCACTCATCAAGAAAACTCATAAAGCTATTTAATAAAGCTGCCCAACATCCCTGAGAAGTTTCTATAAAAAGACAGTTACGATTTGGGAAATCAATGCACAATTTTCCTAAGTCTCTCTCAGATGAAGAATAATTTAGAGATGTTCTGTTTCTATGACTATAAAATTCATCTTTCTTTTAGCTGGGCAATTTAAATCTTTAATGCAGTTGGACATTTGTGATGGATGTATCCTCTGTGCCCTACACTGCGTCTAGTGCAGAAGAAACTGGGATAATGTACTTAAACTCAGAGAACTATTTACAAAATCATAAATAAGCACACTTTCATAATTCTTACAGTGTACCGATACAGTGTTTAATGTTACAATGATAAATTCAAAGATTTCCCCAAAATTTTTATTACTTTTTTCTTTTATATTCAATGTTAATTTTTTTTTTAATCTATAAGATGTTGGCCTGTGTTGTATATACCTCTTGCTTTTTTAGTCTAGAATCTATGATATGGGAGGACATCTGTGCTGTTTGGGGATTTCTTTCGACAGCCAGGCAGTCAGTAGGTTCTCTGTTCTGTTAGATTTGTATTAACAAAGGTCACAATTCCAGTGACTGGCCATCCCAGGAGGGGAGATACAGAACCAAACATGCCCTAGGAAACTGGAAAGTCTTGGCTGAAGCTTTCCCAGACACTTTAGACACGTCTCCAAGAGTGGAAAACCCTCCTAGAGAAAAAGCAAGAAGTGTGACTGAGATTCCCCACATCAATTTTAATTTTCTTCCCTCTTTGTTAGTTCTAACACTGTCTTGGTGCTGCCAGATTACTGACAGATGATAAAGGAAAATATGAATCTTATTATCTGGGACTTTTCTTTATCTCCTCCTACCCTCATTCTTGCCCATCAGTTCCAATCTTCAGTAGAAACCTAATTTTGTCTACTGCCTTCTCAGGAAGAAAGGCTTACAACTCACTCCTGCTCATCCTCATTCCTAACGCAGGGAAGGAGATACAAAGACAATAAGAGAATCTTGCTTTTTATTTCTTTACATTTGAGATGTGTGTTTTCTCCCCAATGTCAAGTTCTTTTATGAATAAGAAAAACGGTCTAAGTGTGAGACACTACCAATTAAATGCATATATAGCAACCAGGCACTTACATAAACCAATGGCCTATATAGAATGGCTTTTCTGCTGGAGTCAGTAAATATAGTCTTGGTTTGGCTTCCCCTTGTACAGCAGGTAACCTCCAAGCTCTTTTCATCTTTTGTTTTCTTTTGTACTTTTTAGGAACTGGCTTGAAGAACAGATTCTCCCCCTCTTAAACCAAAAAAAATCAAACCTGTCACTGTCAAGCTGATACCGACTCATAGCAACACTATAGGATGGGGTAGAACTGCCCCATAGGGTTTCCAAGGCTGTGATCCTTACTGAAGCAGACTGCAACATCATTCTCCTGTGGAGAGGCTGGTAGGTTCGAACCGCCAGCTTTTCGGTCAGCAGCCTAGCACTTAACCACTGAGCCACGAGGGTTCCTTCTCCACCTCTTGGTGAGTTCCAAATAACAACTTATAGTTTGGCTCAGTAATTATGCCTGATTCCTCTTTCCCATGTGAACATGTGATACCATTTTATAGGTAAGATGTTCAGTGATTCATTTCACAAACTTTATCTATATGCCAGATACTGCAGTGCAGGGGGATGAACACAGGCTTTAAAGCTTAGCAGACTGTATTAATGTTAAAACTATATAGTGTTTCAAGTGACCGTGTGTGTGTGTGTGTGTGTGTGTGTGTGTGTGTGTATCTCCATAAACTTTTTATTTCACATAAAATGTACATTCTAGCAACAAATTCTAACGAATCGTTAGCTAATTTAACTCTTACCTCATACAAGGCAAAAAGGTCCAAATGTACATTTTATTCAAGGAATTTAATGGAAAACTACATGTGTTATAGGGATTAAATGGCTATTTCCAATCTTTCCTTGTGTGTTCAATGGAAACTATAAGGTGTTCGTTAACAATTCCATACTTACTCATCTCTGCAAACAGCTGTCTTCTTTCTGCCATGGTATTGCCTCTTTTCCCGCTATCTTCAATCATTCTATGAGACAAAATGATTACAATGTGTAATCATCCTTAGGCTAATGAAAAAACAGTCATTTCTATGTAAACACACTTGCCATATTTATGCCACAAACAGAAAAACTATTTAAGACTATAAGTGTATTAAAAAGTATAGCTTTACTTTCACTCACCTATAATAGTTGTACATATTTTTCCATATATAACATTTTTATTTTCTAACTTAACAAAAATAACTAAAATAGCAAATAACCTTGTGCTATAGCTAAATACACCCATCTACCATCTGTAAGGTGATGCATTTCACATACAGTCTCTCTTTCAATTTTGGGAATACCTGTGAAGGATACAGAGGCGATATTATAGATCCCATTCAACAGAAGACGGGACTAAGAGTCTCATGGAATAAACGGTAAAAGGTGTACAAGGTCCCTAGGTGGTACAAATGGTTTATGCTGGGCTGCTAATTGAAATGTTGGCCCTTCAAATCCACTCAGAGGTACCTAGGAGGAAAGGCCTGGTGACCACCTTCCATAAGATGATAGCCATTAAAAACCCTATGGAGCATAGTTCTACTCTGACACACATGGGGTCACCATGAACCGGAATTGACTCAATGGCAACTGGCTTTTAAAGGGCATAGATGCTCTGACTCCAAGATAAGTATACTTTCCACTACATCCTGCTGCCAGTTGTCCTTTGTGCAGCTAAACCCTCAATTCAGAAACAGGTAATTTTCTAAATGTTCATTTCTAAGTTGAATGTTTGAAACCTGCAACAGTTTTCCTTTATATAGTAATCTTATGCAAGGTGGTTAGCTCCACAACTCTCTACTTAAACATACTATTGTTTGCAGTGAAACTATCTTAAAAAATTCTATTAAAATGCCAATAGTTAAAACAGAAAAAAGGGGAAAAAATTAAAATTTCTCTTGAGAAAAAAAGAACGAGAAAATTAATGTAAATGTTTAGCATGTAAAGGGCTTTTGGTTACATAGCAAGGATTTTACAGGATGATGAATTTGATTTTTTATTATATCTACTTAAACTTAAAAAAACTACAGGTTCTCATACACACATACCTAGTCGTATACACATACATGCATACCACTATAACTTTCATTTTGATTCTCAGGCCTAGTTAACATAAGGGAGAATTACACTAATATTTTTCCATCTTTCAGTGAACCTTGCTTTCTCCCAAATCAGTCTTTGTCCATGCTCTTCTTTTTGTCTGTATTTTCCTCTTCCTATGCCTAGCTACCACCATCTATCAGTTAGTCATACTGCGGTGGCTTGCGCGTTGCTATGATGCAGGGTACTATGCCACCAGTATTTCAAATACCAGCAGGATCACCAATGGTGGACAGGTTTCAGCAGAGCTTCCAGACTAAGACTAGAAAGAAAGGTCTGGTAATCTACTTCCAGAAATTAGCCAATGAAAACCCTATCAATCACAATAGAATACTGTCTGATATAGTACTGGTAGATGAGCCTCCTAGGGCGGAAGGTACTCAAAATATACTTTGGCAGCAACAATCAATTTGAGCATACCAACGATCTAAAGATGGTGCAGGACAAAGCAATGTTTTGTTCTGTTGTATGTGGGGTCATGACAACAGCATGCCTAGCTAATTTCCAGTCACCCTTCAGGTCTCAGTTCACGTGTATCTTCCACCGAAATCTCCCTGACTCTCTGTTGACTGACTGGGTTTGGTGCCTTTCCTCTGGGCCTCCATAGTACCCCATGCCTTTCTTTCAAGGCTGAGCATTTATTCAACAAATCTTTACTGAGTTCCTTTCACATACCAGGAACTGCACTAGGCTTTGGGTTTACCACTGCGGAGAAGGCACAGTTCCTGCCCTCAGGTGCTTCAAATGTAGCATAATAGCGTTTCAAATACAATGAGGTAATTATAGCCAATGCAGTGGAAAGGTATGTGAACACTGGGAGGGATTGATTAACTGGGGTAATTTTAACAAAGCTATTAGCAGAAGAGTGCTAAAAAGGTTATGGGGCTGTGTGCAGAATGATTCACTGAAGTTAAAGAAAAAATCGGTGGTGAAAGCATTATTGGCCACATTGTTCAAACAGCCTCATCACTTATATGAGTCAAGAATTGCTTGCCTATTGCCAGGAAGGGACAGAAGAGCACAGAAGAACCTTGGTTTATGGAGTCAAGGGAAAGCTATGTACACAATTCACATTGGATGTCAATATAATGAGAGTTATTAATGGAGCTTACTTAATTTGTACTAAGTAACAGCAGAATTGTGTTCTTTCACCATACATATTCAATCTGTATGCTGAGCAAATCATTTGAGAAGCTGGACCTTATGAAGAAGAATGTGGCATCAGGATTGGAGGGAGACTCACTAACAACCTGCGATATGCAGGTGACAACCTTGCTTGCTGACAAAGAAGAGGACTTGAAGCACTTACTGATGAAGATCAAAGACTATAGCCTTCAGTATGGATTACACCTCAACATAAAGAAAACAAAAATCCTCACAAATGGACCAATAAGCAACATCATGATAAATGAAGAAAAGATTGAAGTTGTCCAAGATTTCCTTTTACTTGGATCCACAATCAATGCCCATGGAAGCAGCAATCAAAAAATCAAGTGACATATTGCATTGGGAAAATCTTCTGCAAAAAACCTCTTCAGAATCTTAAAACAGGAAAGATGTCACTTTGATGAGTAACACGTGCCTGAACCAAATCATGGTCTTTTCAGTCGCCTCATATGCATGCGAAAGCTGGACAATGAAAAAGGAAGAGTGAAGAACTGATACATTGCGGTGCTGGCGAAGAATATTGACTATACCATCGACTGCCAAAAGAACGAATCTAAAAAAAGTACAGCCAGAGTACTCCTTAGACGTGAGGATGGTGAGACTTTGTCTTCCTTATTACGGACGTGTTATCAGGAAGGACCAATCCCTAGAGAAGGACATCATGCTTGGTAGAGAGTCAATAAAAAAAGAGGAAGACCTTCAATGAGATGGATTGACACAGTGGCTGCAACACTGGACTCAGACATTGCAATGATTGTGAGGATGGTGCAGGGCCTGGAACGTTTTGTTCTGTTATACAGTCATGCGCTACATAATGTCTGTTTGGGCAACGTCTGACCGCATGTATGTCCGTGGTCCCATAAAGTTATAACAGAGTTCAGAAATTCCAATCAGAGAATGGGACGTAGTGGATGCAACCAGACATAGTGAACCCAACAGCTTCATGCATGCAACACATGTATCTCATGTCTCTTGTACACAAAGTGATTGCACTGCCAGGCATATAATGATACAGTATATATTTAACCTATAATACTATGTCTTGATAGCCATAATAAATGCCTGTTACTGGCTTATGTATGTACTATAATTTCTATCGTTTATTTTAATGTGAACTTTTCCTACTACAAATAAAAATTTTACTATATAACAGTGTATACTTGGACTAGTAGGCAGCAGCATCCAATCTTGTGTACCGTGTGTCTCTTGAGTGTTGTAGCATCATCTCTCTGAAATCTTCTTTCGAAAATATTACCGTGAAGTGCATCATGGCTCCCAAAAGCAGCAAAACCAGTGCTAGTGACAGCAGCCGTATCCCATATAGCTTTGCTAAGTATATAATATGGTGTTCACACAACATCCAAATCACATCTTATTTCACAGAACTTATCATGGATGTTAAGCAACGCATGATTGTACAAAGGGTTACTATGAGTTGGAACTGACACAATGGCACCTAACAAGAACAACAACAACTTAATTTGATAACAATTCATTGCTGAACATGCTCATGTATTTTCTAAGATTTTAAATATGCAGGTATGGTTGGAGATAGGAGGGAAAATGCCGTCTTCCTGATTCATATAGCCCTATTTCCTTTACTACAGAACAAGTGGGTAGATAATAATCTGACTTACACAAAATAGTCTGGATATAGCTTCCAATATTTATTTCAAGAGCTCAGAGGTAGAGCTGAAGCAATAGAGAGACAGGGCATAGAACCAGTGATATGTTCCTGCATCTGTCTACATGTTGGAAAGAGATTAAAAGAACCATTAAAAATAAATCACAAAGGATGGCAGGCTGGAAAGCTCTGACTGAAAATGTCAGGGAGGTAAAGGCTGGCTTCTGGACTCGTAGAACTTACTGCCTGCACTATTCGCTTGGTACTGTTTGTGACATCATTTTTCCAGTTAACTTTTTGTGCGTTTCTCTTTAAGGTTTCTGAGGACAGCGACCTCAAGAATTTTCTGCACACTGCCTAGCAAAATCCGATGAACAAGTGATATGTCCAGTTAGTATTTACTGAATAAATAAATGAAAAAGAAAAAAAAAACAGAGGAAAGAAAACCATGAGTTAAATTTGTTTTACATGAAATGGACATTCAATTATATTTTCAAAAAACTGACTTAGAGAAAAGGGAAATTCAAATTGTACTAGATTCAGAAATTTATCATCTGAAATGAGCAAAACTAATTAATAGCTATTATAATCATGTCAAGAGCCCTGGTGGCACTGTGGTTAAGCATTTGGATGATAACCGACAGGTCAGTGGTTTGAACCCATCAGCCGCTCCACGGGAGAAAGATGTGGCAGTCTGTTGTATCAAGACTTACAGCTTTGGAAATCCTATGGGGCAGTTCTATTCTGTCCTATAAGGTCACTATGAGTCAGAATTAACTTGACAGCAGTGGATTTTTTTAGTTTCTAATCATGTCTAAAGCACATCATGTCTCATGGAACAGAAGTTGAAAAAGATGCAAACTATATTTCTGTCAATTGTTGGTCTACTCATTACCATTTTTGATGAGTTAATTCATAAAAGAAATATCATTAGTTGCACAATGGTATTAATTCTCACTTCTAAGTAAAATGTGTACTTTATGAGAAAAAGAAGAAAAAACACAATGGCGTGAAATAACAGAAAGCAGAAAATATAATGATAAACATAAAAAGAAAAACGATACACTTTTAATTTTACCTCAAGAGTTTCTTGGGAAG